TTGACTCCAAAGTGTTTGGTCGCCGAAGCGTCATGGAACTTGCCTTGGAGCCGCGTACGCAAGTGTGGGTCACCTGACACACAAAGAAGATTCTTCCCCCGTGAGTGGACTAGCAAATAGCCCTCTTGGATCCGATAATGCAATGGCGCTGGATTTGGACAGGAGCAATTCACGTACTTGTCGTGAAACTCGGGGTCGACTTGGTAGTCGTGGATGAAGTTGTCCAGCAAGCCGTCGTCAACCTTTAACGTCGAGTAGACCGCGGTACAAAGGTCCGAGCACCATGAAAGGACGTCTGCAAAATGGTTTGATTTCCCGGGAGGTGATCGCGGAAGAAGTCAAACTGGTTGATGAAAGTCATCCAACGGGCGATGGTGCTATTGACTGTGGCTTGGGTCTTATAGAAGACCAACAGATTGTTATTCGTTACCCATCGGAATTGACTTTGACTGAGAAGAAAATACCACCAACTCCTCCTTCAGTGAATCATCAATTGAATGCACGAAAGACACCTTCTTACTAAAGTCTTCGACCGGGTGCCAGTCTGCGCCATCGTGTTGCTCGCTCGAGGATGATACCAATGCCATAGACGAACGCATCGGTAGTGACACGCATCGGCAAAAACGGGTTGTAGATGTGTAAAACCTCTGCGAATAGCAAGGCGGCTTTAAGGGCCAAAAAGGAGGCCCGCGCATCATCGTCGAAGTCGAACGACCGATCCTCGCATTGAAGCTTGGTCAAATTAGCCGCATCTTCAAATAACCTTTGAGAAAGCGTTGATAGTAGACGTCTAGGCCAAGAAACGAATGGACATCCGTGATGTTCTTCGGCTCCAACCACTCTTGGACGGCTTGAATCTTGTCGGATAACGGACTAATGCCCTCCGGTGTAACAAAATGGCCTAAGTACTCCAACTCTTCCACACGAATTCGCACTTGTCGCGGTTGGCTTTGTACTTGGCACAATGGAGTGTCTCCAACACACGTCAAAGGTGCTCGAGATGATCCTCGAAGGTCCGGCTCTAGACGAAAATGTCGTCCAAGTAGACCAGCACAAACCGGTCTAACATCACGTGGAACTCGTTGGTCATCGCTGCTTGAAAAGTCGTCGGGGCATTGGTGAGCCAAAAGGCATGACAATCCACTCAAAATGCCCATACCGTGTTTTAAACGCGGATTTGTAGCGATCTTGCGGACGTATCGAAATCTGATGATAGCCCGACTTCAAGTCCAACTTGGAAAAATATTTCTCAATAAGGAGGATGAGTGTGCCTGGGCGGGGTCGTCAGCGAAGGGATGCTTACGAGTGAGGGTTGGGCATGGGGAGGCTGTAGACGTGCTGCGAGAGCCCAAAGGGTGTGGGGTGGGTGGTGAAAGGTTTTATTGGGATTAATGATGTGGTCAACGTGGTTTGACTATCGTCGTCGATGTGAAAGTCGGGTACTGAGATGTGCGTTAGGACAGACGTAGGTAGGGGGTGTCTTGGGCTGTGAGTGAGTGGGCGGATGGTATGTTTCCTCTATACTGTTGAGCTGAGAGAGGTCGGGGGTGTCTGTGGAGAGCAAGAGAGGTGGGTTACCCCTGCTTTGGAGCGTGATGAGGGTAGGTGGTGGATGAACGTCGGGGTGAAAGGGTCGCGAGGGTGTGGTGTGGATACTAACTGATTGTCCGAAGTGAGGGTTGCCGGCAGTGCGGGAGCATGCAGGGAAAGGACATGGGGGGTAGAGGGGAGGATTACCTGAAAGATAGCTTGTCTGCCATTAGACAGGCAGCTGCCGCGTACCTCTAGAAAAATGACCACAATGACATTCTTTGTATCAAACGTGTAGCATGGGACCTCCTCATCCAACCAAGGACCAAGGGTGGCCTTGGCATCATTGACCCGGGACACGAAATCAAGGCTCTCACTCTCAAGCACATTGTTAGGTTGCTGATGGGCAATGACATACCATGGCTGCCATATGCGCAGATTCAGATAGCATGCCTCGCTCCACCGTCCCCGGTGGACAGCCCGGTGCACCCGCTTCAATGGCTGACTAACCCAGCATGGACAATCCCGACCTGCTGCGAGTGGACTCAGACCTGTCCCCGGTTGGCCAGGCCAAATGGGACCTGAGAACGGATCCGTTATGGACTGCCATTCTACATCTATGGAGAAAGCACGGCCCAAAACGAACACAAGTACCACTTAGATGGCACGAGATCATACGCCAACCGTTGTTTGGTCACCCTCAAATCCTAGACCAAACAGGAACTCCCTTCTCCCTCCGACGGAAATCGAGGTGGCTTCGATGGGTGAAAAAGGGGATTTTCTATGTCCGAGACCTGTGGGACGATGCCTCTGCGTCCTGGCACTCATATCACACAATTAAGGCAAAGGTAGGCCCCTGCCAGAACCTGGAACAAGACCTCGCAGGCATTCAAGAAGTGTTTCCACTGGCATGGATCAGCGCACTCAGACAAGGACCTACCATAGAGAAAGGGGATTGGGTTGTACGAACAGACTCGCTACACCTTCTGATGACAATCTTTAGGGTAGAGCAAGCCCAGCCCCCTACAGCCATACAACTGCAGGCTTACTGCCCAATTCTGCCAGGAGCAAGATGGTCGACCATCCAGAGGAAAGAAGACCTGGACTGTCAAGGCCCGACAGACTCGCTGATCAGGGTGCAAGTGGTAGAAGATAAAGATAATGTGAAGTATGTATATGAATCCACGATACCTCTATCCCACCTTCCACTCGATCCCAAGGAATGGGCATGGCAGTGGGGAACATCTTCGAACAAGACTCCATGGCAATACACAGTGAAAAATGGGTATAGGACAATGAGGACCATGACCTCGACCCACATAATGGATGATATTTCCAGGAGATGGGAAAGAGATTCCTCCTTGACCCGGGAAGACCTGAAGGATATCAAGTGGTCGACCTACGCCCATATCAAACCAACCAATCAAAGGGCATTGCAATGGCATATCATACATAGATATCTGCCTACTCCTGATTGGGTAACTCAAAGAACAGATCTAGAACAACAACAACGGGTATCCCCCTTATGCACGTTTTGCAATTTCATTGTCCCGGCAAGAAGGGCAACACTGGAGCATTGTCTCCTGGAATGCCCCATGGTGGTGCCAATCTGGAAATGGTGGGATGCCGCTTGGCACTATCTTACAGGCCACCATTTTCCATGGGGAGTGAAAGTGATACTCCCGGGCACCCTCCCTCCACTAATTAACTGGACTCAGTACATGTTAAACCTGTTCCGGTATATCCGCCTGCCTGTGATTATGACAGCCTGGTGGAGGAGGTGTGCCTATGACCGGGGCGAAAATACATTTGCTCCTCAGCATGCCGAGGTAGTTATCGCCGATACAATAATTGCAAACACACGGGACACCTGGAAATGTTTGCAATCCAAACTACAAAACAAAACGGAGGAGTCAAAAAGAAAACAACTCACGGAAAATTTTACAGCCACCTGGGTTGACCCCAATAACAGGCTGTGCAGACTAGACCACCAAAGACACCTTCAGTGGCAGCCTTGGCTTACGACGGAGAATAGTTGGGAGTTTCTCCCAGATGACCATTTCTTATGCCATATCCAACCAACGAACTTTGTATTGGTTCCCACAGACCTCCACGAAGCTCAACAGTCACAGATTGAAGCTGGAACACATCCCTGATATCCTCACACCCCCGGCCATGCTCCCCTTCCCACCCAGCAGCCCATACCCTTCTATTCAGCTGCTCCCCCTACACCAACACAGAAAATGCCAGCCAGGATGGACCACTGCAGCCCCGCCTATGAGACAGAAGACTGGGAGAAGAAATGGGTCGCTGGAAGATGTAGGGGTTTAAGTACGGATTTAAAAGTTAAAAGGCTAATGACGGGAAGAGTCTGTGTGACAGAAGAGGCAGTGTATTGCACCTAGAGGGGGAGCGAGCGGGGATAACAATCATATTACTACCTTCCACAGCGACTGTGTACAGTTACAAAATCATTAGACTTTCTCTGTGCTGTGTTATATGGCATATCTGACTAGACGTAACTATCACACAATTACCCATATATCTATCAGACATTATCTCACATGATCTCAGATACAAACCGACCCGTTCCACCTAATACATTTGTGGTCTCTCAGTAAACAGGCATAGGAAAACCTCACATCCCATGCCCACACCTACTGATAGAAACATGCAAGTATGATAGATATGAGTTAGAAGAGTAACAGACACGATAGTGTATGGTAGCAAGTGGATAGATTGTGAGTGCAGAGTAACAAAAAGACATCATGTGTATTGGTTGTTCATGCTTGCAATTCTTTCACTGTATATGACAGGGATGCTGGACCCGTTTTCCAGCAGGTGCTGCTCCCCTCCAAGAGCCTGTCTCTTATACACATCTAGATGTGTATAAGAGACAGGCCCCGGCGTTGCGAGGGGGGTCTGTTTTTAAAACCCCCCCAAGAAAGTCCGGGGGGATTTTTTAAAAAAAAAAAAAAAAAAAAAAAAAAAAAAAAAAAAAAGGCAGAGAGGAGTGTGCCCTCGGCATCTTCCTGCCCTAAGTTGAACGGCCTGATCTAATGGAGTAACCGGCTAAGCTCCGCATCGACGACAGGGCGCCCGGCGCATGTCCGTGTACTCATCTTCCGCATAAGTGTTGGTATGGTTGCTTCTGACTCGCCTACTCACTCCCATGTCCCCTCCACCTCGTCAATGAGGCGAGTTGACCTAGCTATGGGGCTAGGTGGGATGCTGAGCGATGGCCACTTCGACCGGCCTCGTGCCGGGGTGGTGACTGACGAGGTCGGTCCCTCCTGAACCGACGGTGCTACGACAAAGCGCTCCTGTGCCGGTCGCATGCCTCTCCTCTATCTGCACAACATTGTGAGCCATGGGCTGGAGTTCAAATGATTGAAAAAAAGAAAAGAAAGAAAAGAGAAAAAGATATTACGGTAACGGGTTGAGGGAAGAGTTTGGGTACATGATCTGACCTCGTCCTTCTCCTTTGGGGGCTCTCCACTTTCCTCTGCTGCTGGTGGGACGGCTTCAGAATGCTCCTTTTGTGCTGCTTTCGCTTTTGCTTCAGGCAGGAATTCTGGGTGACTGAGCATGAAGAAATCTGCCAAGTGGCAGCCAAAGTGAAAAAAAAAGTAAGAGCATGCTGATCACAGGGCACAGGCGAAGTAATTATACTAATGTAAAAAAAAAAAAAAAAAAAAAAAATCTCCAAGCGTCTGTTTGCCAAGGTGGAGTACAACTGTGCGCCAAGCTTTTGCCGACCTTTCTTGTTTTTTTTTCTTTTTTCTTTTTGGCTGGCGCCACAAGCCTCTGCGAGCCACCGAAGAATGCAGTACAGGTTATATTTACGACTTCGCCTTCCAGCCTGAAAGGTAGTGGTGGTTTAAACCGCCAGTACCTTTCCCCACTTGGGATCGGGGAAGCGGCGGTTAACATGGAGCCTGATTCAGCCTCCGGCACCAGCCACATCCATCAGCCGCGCTTGGCGCGCAGCGCCAGTGGCTGAGGTATGAGAAAGGTACTGGCGGTTAAGGGAAAATTAGTCCACGACGATATATGAGAGTAGGAAAGCATTTAGCAAGAAGAAAAAAGGGTTTAGGGTTTAAGTAAAAGATACTAGTTAGCGAGCTTTTTGAGAATCAAATTACAGCTGGTTTTAGGGGGTAGCATGTCGGAGCACTCCGCAGGGGCTCCAGTTATTCCATTTCATTTCAGCCCTCTTATTTTCTTAAGTGCATTCTGGGGGTACGATTGCCAGTTCTTTCAGCCCCTAAATGCAACCTAGGGCCAGGTTGGCAGTTGCTTTCGTTTATCGCTAGTTGCCTCTTGTTTATCCAGTTTCGTCTTTGTTCAGGGATAGCATGTAGCTGGTCAGGAGAAGGGGACACTGGACCCCGTTACGTTTATTGCTATTGGCCTCTTGTTAATCCAGTTTTGTCTTTGTTCAGGGATAGCATGTAGCTGGTCAGGAGAAAGGGACACTGGACCCCGTTTCCAGTACGAGCCTAACCTGGGTAATGGCCCCAGGCTTCCGGGTTGAGATGTGGAGGGATTCCCGGCCTCCTTTTGCTCTATATATAATGACGCATGCAATTCTTTCAAAAAAAA